TCTTGTTTGTATTCAGATCTGGAGGGACTTCAGGCTTTTGCATGGCCAGGAGCTCCTTAGCCCTAGGTAAGTAAGGACCCTCTCTTCTCCATGTCAACAGAAGGTGGTGACTAGTCTTGCCAACAGACCCTGTCCTCGATTGCCTGCACTTGATGGCTAACATTGCAGAGAAAAATGAAAAGGGGAACCCGAGTCTCCTGTTTTAATTGTTGTGCTGTTTTAATGGGAATATTTTATATTGTGTACTTTAATTAAGGATGCTTATATTTTGATGCTGGTGTTTAACTGGTTTCATACTGCTTAGAAGCCTGTTTTGGCATTAAGTGGTATCTGAATGAATAATACTTAGATCTCAGTGTAATTCTGGGTGTTCCTAGTCTTTCCCTAAACCATGGGGATGTCTTTTGTGTTTTCTTATACCCTGTCTCATGGAGCTAGAAGTCTATGTCTTGATTCATAAACAAGAGCAGCAGTTTGCTCATGGTCTCTATATCATTCTTGGCTTAGAAGGAAGGAGAAAAAGACCTCCTTGCCTGGAAATTATGACTTGTTGAAAGGCTATAGATGTGATTGGTTGGCTTTGATTGGTTGGATTGATTGGTTGTTTTAATTGGCATAAGTAAGGTGGTGTAGGAAGAAGAGGCTATTGCATTGCAGGTTGGTTGGGCTATTACCCGTATTTTTCGCTCTATAACACGCACCTGACCATAACACACACATAGTTTTTAGAGGAGGAAAACAAGAAAAAAAATATTCTAAATGAAACAGTGGATGTATGATTTTTGTGGTTCATGCTGTAGCCACAGACATGTGATCTGACAGTGAGTTTGGAGTAGCCCAATGCAAAAATCCTGAGGATCCATGTGGATCCGTGCTTTGTAACCATGCTTTAAGTGGGGAGGAAAGGAAAAGCACTCAAGGGACAAGGAGCACGCGTGGGGTGTATGGAGAAGGATGCTGCTAATAATGCAGGAGAGGGGTTTAAGGGGAGAAGGAACACGTGTGGGGTGTGTGGAGAAGGATGCCACTAATAATGCAGGAGAGGGGATTAAGGGGAGAAGGCTCCTCTCTTCTCCCACTTTGCTCCTTTAAAGCAAGCAGGCTCTGCTTTTCTCCCTCCTCCCCGCTCATCCCCAGCTTAGTGAGCTGAAAAACTTTGCTGCTATGTAGCGAGCTGAGTGGGGAGGAGAGAGGGACAGAGAGCCTGCTTGCTTTAAAGGAGCCAACCGGACAGGAGCCGCTTACACTCATGTAAACGGCTCCTCTCCTCTCCTGCTTTGCTCCTTTAAAGAAGCAGGCTCTCTGTCCCTCTCTCCTCCCCACTCAGCGGCTCTTCTCCCGCTTTGCTGTTTCAAAGTGAGCCACGGAGGAGGCAAGGAAGGGGAACCATGGATCCTCTGCTCACGACTGCAGCAGATCCCCCCGCCACCCGTAGGCATTCCCTCCATAACATGCACAGACATTTCCCCTTACTTTCTAGGAGGAAAAAAGTGAGAGTTATGGTGCAAAAAATACGGTAATCTAAAAGTGAACAAGTTAAGGTGTCTCAGGAGGGGATTCAGAGGAAACCTGTGTGGTTGATGTTAAACATGTAGTTGTGCTTTAGCCGTCTATTATTTTTTTACTAGTACTGTTGAAAAGAGTATTTTTGCTTTAAGATCTAGGAGTATCTTTTTATGCCAATGACCTTTACCACAATTCCTCTCCTCTCCCAAAACGAGTGAACTCTGTTGGAGAGGTAACAAAACATGGAATAGTTCGAACTGCGTGGTTAACCCCCATTGTAGAATGTGGTTTTGTCTTTGTTTTTTTTAAAGAGAGATACATGTGCGAAAGGATCTAGATTGACGGATTTACTGCCTACAGATTTGTGGTCCAGATTGCTTCAAATGCATATTGTAACATTGAGAAGTTTCCCAGTCTTCTTGCACCCGAAGGCTACTTGTTCAACTAGCAGGACAGCTCACATGACTGACTGTGACTAATAAGCATCCCATCCAGACTTGGGCCCCAGTGCAGCTTTGAAGTGCACTCAGCCCGAACTGAGATTGCAGACAAGAAGCCCCATGTTATTTTGTCTGGGGAAGAAAGAGCTTGGGATTTTTGGAGCCAGAAGAGAAATGGGACCTTTCAGGACATAAAGTTTAATAGGCTGCCGCTGTCAATGTTCTCTGAGGCTTGCATCTCGGCTCCTACTGTGCATGCTAATTTATGCTCTTCATATAAAAACAAAAGCAGCTTCTCAGCATTAGAGACAAAGGTGGGGAGGAAACCGATGCTTAGTTGGTGTAAACTTCTGGGTCTGTCTTGAATTCCAGATAATTCAGAAAACCATTGGCCTTGGGGTAGCCATGTGTGATCCCTGTCAATGGGCAGCCATTTGTGTGCAGCCAGCATAGGCACCAACTCCTAGGGGCCCAGCTCTTTTGGCTCCTTCAATCTTCTCTGTAAGTTGGTGCCTCTGGCAGCCAGCCACCTCCAGGATCAAGAGCAAACTGTGCACACCATCACATTATGGGTTTTTTAACCCTGCATATGGCAGCAGCTCCAAGTTGGCCATGCCCAGTGAGGAGCCTAACATGCCCAGCCATTTCCAGCAGGTAGATCTTGGCAAGACTGCTTTAAATGGGTTTTGCAGTACAGTGGTACCTCAGGTTAAGTACTTAATTCGTTCCAGAGGTCCGTTCTTAACCTGAAACTGTTCTTAACCTGAAGCACCACTTTAGCTAATGGGGCTTCCTGCTGTTGCTGCGCCGCCGGAGCCCGATTTCTGTTCTTATCCTGAAGCAAAGTTCTTAACCTGAAGCACTATTTCTGGGTTAGCGGAGTGTGTAACCTGAAGCGTATGTAACCCGAGGTACCACTGTACATCATGGGTCTTGGCAAGAAAAATCGCCTCCTTTTTACATGTATATACATAATTAAAGTTCCTGGACATTCCGCGATGGATTGTTCCTTAAATCTGTAACTTGCGATGTTCTACTAGAAATGTTGGCTTTTCACTGACCACTTAACTAGCCATGACGGGCTACGTGCAATGAAATCAGGTTTCTTCTTGTTGCACAGCTTGTGACAGTTCCAAAGACAAGTGAGGCTGCAGCTCGCATGACTGGGAAAATATATAAAATGTAATCATATTACCCAAATAGAGTTCCTTTGACAAATCAGAAGCCCATCTCCTGGCTGGTCTAACTGAAAGGTACGTTCAGATGCCACATTTCTTGTGCATTAACTCATCTGTGAAAAAATCGCATTTCGATCCATTGACGCCTTGCGTTTATTCATGGTATGTCTTTAAATGTTCTTTTAATCTGTTGGTGATATTATGCTATAGTGGTTCACCACAAAGGATGTTACACCCACACAGAAATTCCTTCAGTGCAAGCCAGATTCCTGTGGGATCATATGGAAGAGAGAGAAGCAAGCCACATAATTCTGGCAAATCTGTTCACTTCCCTGTGATTCTCTGGAGAACTGGCTCATTTGCTTGAGCTGCCTGGTAGTTATGTACAAAACATATCCCTTATCTAGCAGGTGATAAGGTGTGACAAACCTTGTTCACTCCTGTCCTTTTTAAACTATATTCTGGCATGATTTTGTTATCTGAACTTGCTGCTCGGAGTGGAAACTCTTGCTTTGTTATCAGTGGGTGGAAAAGATGGCTTTGTAGGCCCTGTTATTCTAACAGATAGAGGCCTTTTATCTACCTGTTGATATATTCTCTTCAGGGGCAGGGAAGAAATTCAATTCTGTTCACATTTAAAGGTGAAAACACCTAATTTGCACTTGCTAGAACAAATATGAGAACTGAAACACAACCTTCAAAATTTATACTTCTTTTAATGCTGAAATACAGTTGCCAAGCCAAGCAATGTGTACAAAATTGCCTATGGTAGGTGAAAGTGTACAAAAGTATATATATTTGCAAAAGTAGCATAAAACTGCATATTTTAATGGGGAAATTTCTTAGGCCAAAAAAAATGCATATAGAAATGTGGATATTAGCAGAAATTTACACTAAAATGCTGATTATTTTTTATGAAGACATTTAAGAAACACACATTTTAAACTGATGTAGAAAATGTGGACTTAAGAGTAGAAAAATGAGAAACTAGAATAAATGGAAATTCACCCATCCCTTGATGTTTTCAAATAAAGTATGACCAAAGTAATGGGTGAACACTCTCTACAACTGCATGAAATGAACAGGATACCTCAAAGCACCATAAAAATGCATAAATAAAAACTATGTGTGGGATTTTTTTTAACAAAATATTTTCTCTATAGCTGGTTCTATGATACTAACAGTTGTTAAACTGTAATCCTCAACGGTTTATGGGCAGTACCATCATTCCATTGACTTCAGAATTGCTCCTCTGGAGCATTAGCCGGAAGACAGCAGTTGAAAAATGAAACAACAACCTTATAAGGTCAGGCTAAATAGGACAGCTCTGGTGTAGCAGCAGCTGGTATCTTACATACTGGCCATTTTCAATGCTTCTCTGTATTTAGATAACATTCTTGGTGAGAGGTTAGATGTCCATTAATATTCCTGTCTTCAGTATCCAGTTCTCCATGGATCCTGTTTAGCAGGTGAGTCATTGTTTCACCTGGGGAGAAGTCCAAGATGGCGACGGCTTGGCAGGCAGGCTTCGGAGCTCCGCTGATAACAGGACTGTAGTTGGCGTTGACTGCCACCCAGGGAAGTAGTTTTTTCCTTTTTTTACTTCTCTACTTTTTAACTTACCGAGATTCTGGCAGCACCTTCTTGTCAATGCTGTGGGAGACATCCTGGGCAAGTTCTGTGAAGCATCCTGGGCAGGCCGCCAGCTGCTAGCTATTAACCGCCAACTCCCTTCTATACCTTGTTCCTGAAACTCCTGGCAGCCTCCACACAGAGAAGCTCTTAAATTGAACAAACTGAACAAACTGAGCACTTTCTATTCTTTTCTCTCTTTTTGGTTGGGAAACCTCTCCTTGTTTACTCCCACGGTGACGCTATGCCTGCTAGTAAACGCCACAGGGACCCAGAGGATGTAGCTCTCTCACCGGTTCCCAAACAATCTAAAATAGAGGACTTTTTAAACAAATCTGCTTTTACAGTTCCAACAAAAAACCGGTTTTCTCCTCTTGAAGATGATTGTGAGTGTGGGGAGAGTATTCAAGGTGAGAGCGTGGAACTGGATCCAGCAATGGGGCAAGCTGATCCTGTGCTCCTCAGAGAGGAAGGAATAACAAGTAGGGAGAGCACCCAATTAACTCTAATTGCAAGAACGGTTGAGCATATCTTCCAGCAAATTAGAGGTATTGCCTCTCAAATAACCCAGTTATCCAAAGAGGTCCACAGTTTATCAGTTAATAACAAGCAGGCATCAACAGACCACCATCGTACCAAAGGAAATTGGCGACAACAAGAGCAGACCCCTAAGCTCAACATAATGCAGAGTTTCCAAAACAAACTCTCTTACTTTCAATCAAAAGACTGATGATCATTTGTGGAAGGCCAGATCAACTCTGTGCCGGGAAGAACACGCCAACCACACTTGTCAGAGTCTATTGTTGCACCCTTATGTAAGATGAGGACTGCTGCTTCAGAGGGGCTCACAAAACCAAAGCCTGGACCCCCAATGGAAGTAATAACATCACAAAAAAACTTGGCAGGTGGGGAGGAAACAGACATGCCTGAGTTGAATCCGCAGGATCATGCCCAACATCAAAATAACCAGGTGAGTCAAAAGGAACAGCCGATTCCTCTAGACAATCATCTTCAGGAATCTGAGCACTCTGTAAATCCTTTGGAAGAGGATTTTCTCAGCTCCTTTAGGAATCTCCCTCAGGAAGAGCAACAAACAGTTATCAAGAGGCTTGATCTTATGAGCCAGACATTGAAAGAGATTAAAGAACCGGAGGCAGAGATTGATAATAGATCCAATGGCCACAACAGAATGATAACTCTAGAACCACCGGAGTATTGGACAAAGATGAGATATTTAGAAGAGGAGGAGTCAGGAAATACACCCAAGAAATCCCCATTGGCAAACAATTTGCAAAGAAAAGGCCCAGTGATTACAAATGTGAGCACTTTATGTACGACGACTGAAATAATCGAACATCTGGATTATTCCACTAGCATTAGCAATAACCTGTTGCCTCAAAAACTGGTAAACTCCGAGAGCACATCGGCCAACAATTGACTAAGAGTAAATCATTGTAAAACAATTAAACTTCTCTCATGGAATGTAACAGGGTGGACGAACAAGATCCAAGACAGTGATTTCTGTTCTTATCTACAAACACATGATATCATCTTTCTTCAAGAAACCTGGGCAAAAGAGGGCACTATGGTTGAATTACAGGGTTTTACAAGTTACACTCAACCAGCTCTTAAAACTGTAAAGTATGGAAGGCCTAGTGGGGGGCTGGCGGTGCTGGTGTCAACCTCTCTTAATGTATCAATTCAACAGTGTCCCTCGTTGACCACCCCTAATTTTTAGTGTTGTCCCTTTCTGATAGTCTCCTGAGAAATACTTATTGCATATGCGTGTATATACCTCCAGTAAAGTCTTGTGGGGAACTGAGATCATATTGGGATAAACTTGACCAACTACTCGAAAGTATAGACTCTCTGTCACCTAACCCTCGGTTTATCTTGGGAGGTGACTTCAATGCCCGGATCGGCCTTGTTTCCCCACAAAATACAATATTATCTGGTCTAAACTTGGAGGACGAACCTGAAATCTGTCAGAGGGCAGCAATGGACACCATCCCTAATCGCGCTGGGAAACATCTTTGTGAACTTATAATAAAGCATAACCTTTTGTTATGCAATGGGCACGGTCAAGGGGATCAAGAGGGTTATTTTACTTTTATCTCCCCCAGAGGATTTACTAGCACCATAGATTATATCCTAACATCTAATAATGTGCCAGTTAACCGAGATACCTTCAGGATAATTCCCAGAGCTGAAAGTGACCACTTTCCACTTGAGTTATCTCTGACATTATTCTTTTCTCCTGCCTTTCCTAAATTATTGGATGAAACAGAATATCTGATACTTGGAAATAGAAGGTTAAAATGGAATGCACAGGTCCAGAAAAAATGATTCAGATCCTGGATTCCCATGAATTTGCTCTATTAAAGGGGGAATGTTGTTAGAAACAGGAAACGTAATTGGACTTTATGAGAACATAATCAACCGAATGCGCCCACTGATGACCACAGCTAGTGTGATAAAAACAAAAAGTTTAAGAGACAGACTTGGTTTGATAAGGAATGTCAGAATAGCAAAAATGCCTAGCTAGGGTACTTAGAAAATTGAAGTTAAAACAGGATAAGCACAATCTTGCCCTACAAGCTGAGGTAGCCCAGTTACGAAACAACTATAAATTATTACTTAAAAGCAAGAAACAAATATATTATGAACAACAGTGGAAAGAATTGGGAGATGCAGCACTTCAGAAGGACTCACGGAAATTTTGGCATCTGGTTGCCCAAGGCACCAATGGGCTGGGCTACTCATTAGAAGCATCTGTCCAAGGAAAGGATTGGGTGACATATTTTACAGAAATATATCGCCCCTGTCCTGACCTACCCCCACAAGTTTACTATACTCAGTTATCAGAACTGCCAGAATGGCCAGACGTCACGCCCAATCAGATTAAGAGGCTAATCGCAAGCCAACTAGCTAATAAAGCTCCAGGAGAAGACATGATCCCAATGGAGATCTATAAGATAAGACCTGATTTCTGGTCACCCATTTTTGCAAAATTGTTTTCATACATTAACAGCTCAGGTCATATACCTGAAGGGTGGAAGTTGAGTATAATTGCCCCAATATATAAAAAGGGCGATAAGAAAAACCCTGCTAATTATAGACCCATTAGTTTGTTAGATGTAGCCTCCAAACTATATGCCAGGCTCCTTCTTGGGAGACTAGAAGAATGGGCAGATACAAATAAGGTGATATCTGAAGTCCAGGCAGGTTTCCAAAGAGGGAAATCCACATTGGACCAGTGCTTTGTGCTGAACTTTCTGCTATGTAAATACATCCATAATTTGAAGCAAAAATTATATGTTGCTTTTATCGATCTAAAGTCAGCTTTTGATACGGTCCCAAGACACGCATTGTGGCAAAATTGGAAAAGACAAATATAGACCTCCGTCTATTATTTCTCATCAAAACATTATATACTGACACATCAATACAAGTAAAGGTGGATCTGGCTGGCCATCTCACCACTAGAATTAAGACCACTACTGGAGTCAAACAGGGATGCATTTTGGCACCTTTCCTGTTCAATTTTTATATTAATGACATGGTTAAAGAACTGGAGGGCCTACAGTTTGCCCCTGTCACAATTCTCGACCAAAAACTCTCAGTTTTAATGTATGCTGATGACCTAGTACTTGTATCTAGAACCCAGGTGGGCCTGAGACGGCTGCTTGCAAAATTAAGTTCATATTGCATGAGGAATGCTTTATCTATAAACTATGATAAGACGCAGGTCATTGTATTTGGGAAGCGTTCTAAAAAGCATGTTTGGCACCTGGATGAACACATCATAAACCAAGTAAATACGTTCAAATATCTGGGATTGATTTATTCAGAAACGGCATCTTGGAATACACAGCTATCCAATATTAAATTGCAAGCCTTTAAATCAGCAAAAGCCATTCTGAAATTCGCTGCATGTAAAGGTGGAAATCTGGTCAACCCAGCTCTATCTGTGTATAAAGCAAAAACAATGGCCCAGATTTTATATGGTGCAGAGGTTTGGGGTACCTCAAAGGTCTCCGGTCTGGAACCCCCACAGAATTATTTTTTAAGAGTTCTTTTAGGTTTACCCAAAGACGTGCAATCTGCCATGGTCAGGTTGGAAACTCGCATGTTGAGCATAGAGAGCCAAATAGATAAAAGAATTCTCTGTTACTGGTTTAGAGTTCAACAGATGGACAACACTAGGCTACCAAAAAAATGCCTGATTGAGCTCTCAAATGGATTACCCTTTAAAAACTGGGTACATCATGCTGCCCAACTGATGGGCAAATATGACCTCTCAGTGACTGAGATTAAAGAACTCCCCTTATATTCACAGAAAAATATTTTTAAACGAACCATAAGGGCAGTGGCAACTAAAAACGATTTAAACTCTATGTGCACATCTACATGCGCCCATTGTATTTTAAACTTAGAGAGGTCAATGAACACATATCTTATTTTAATGAATTGACTTTTGCACAGCTTCGAAAAGCTTTTACAGAGCTACGACTAAATACAATAAGCTCTGCTTATAGAGATGGGAAACATAGAGGCATACCAAAAAAACGAACGTGTTTGCATTAGGGGATGTTCTGAAGTAGAGGACCTTATGCATTATATCTTGCACTGTCCGTTATATAATGATGCAAGAAAAAGATTTTTGGTACCTATAATGACAGGGTCCCCTGGCCAGAACCCCCTTGATATGATGTTATATCTCCTTGCAGACACAGATAAGTATGTGACCTGGCGGGTAGCACTTTTTGCAACTGCTGCTAGGAAAATTAGAGCAAATTATATAGCCAAGGTAGCCATTAACTGTAAAGGAGATGAATTTATTTGATCCTATCTATCTACCTCAGGCTATGCTCTATCTTTGTCACCAAACTCTGAGTATAAATTGCACACTGTATTAATTGATATTGTTTTTAACATTAGTGACCATGTGATGATTTTAGCTTATGAATTTTATCGTTTAATGTTTTTATTTGTACATTGGGGTACTTTTATAGCTTTGTTTAGAGTATGTAATGTTTTAATAATATAAATGTTTTAAGTCTTTTTTTACCAATTCAGTATATTTTCTTTTAATTGTCAAATAATTCTGTGTACATTGAGGCAGCCTTTGGCTATGTGCAATAAAACTGACTGAGACTGACTGACTGAGACATTGTTTCACCTATGCTTAGTAGGGATCTGCCAGCTAAGGGAACAGACTTGAGACCCCAAAACATGAGAAGTGGACAAAAGGGGTGGTGGTCTTTGCTCAGGCAGGGGATATAATGTGATTTTGACATCAATTGCCATCTTACAAACACACCTAATGCTCCTTTTGATAGCAATGGGTCTTCCCACAGAAAGAATCTTTTAACCAGAAAAAAATATAAAATCCTGAGTGGGACATATTGTAGCAACCTTTAACTTTGACGAGACAATATGTTTCCAACTAGAAGGTAATAAAGAACTGTTATAATCTTATGTAAAAAATAGTTGTGGTTAGTTTCAAGAAAGATTGAGAGACATTTATTTCTGGAAACAATTAAAGGCTAATTTAAGTTTATCTTTTATAGTAATGACTTGCCACCCGAGTGTCTCCTGGGAATTTTCTTTCTTTCCCTGATGCTGTCCGCACCCCTCAGTATTGGTTATCTAATGGTGTGGGTCATGCCTTGCTGTTTTCTGCCTTTCGCAAATGCAGCTTATATGTTTCTTATTGGGGACTGAAAG